CTCATTCCATCTCAAATCACCCAGGCCGGGGAAAGTGAATTTAAGTTTGCGATAAAACTCACAGGGATTGTTCCTTGAACAATTTAAGGAGACACGTATTTTTTCTTTTTGCTCAAATGCGAATATTTCGAATAATGATTTTTTTCTTTTTGATTACGAACGCTTCTTTTTTCCTCTCTTAATAGCAACTTTTGATGAAATCGCTTATAACTGCCGCAAACAAGCAGGGATTTTAACGATTTTTTTTTTTAAATTGCAGATATTGTTCTACTGAATCGATCTAGTTGACTAAACATCAGTAATTGTTTATTAATAATTAATTATTGTTTATAAACAAACATTTTTTTTTTCAAATTGCCACATCTTTTTTTCTCTCAAACTTTTTTGTCTATAAGGGAATAGTATAAACTATTTTCAGTACGAGTAGCAATATGCTAAAATTCGTCGTTTTCGAGTTATGATTTTTTTTCTGAAAATGCACTTAAATGATGCTAGCAGATTTTCGTGCCAGTTGAGGTACAAATTTTTTGATTAAAAAAAAATAGTTTTTGAAAATATGCCATCTCAAAAAAAAATTGGAAAAAATCACAATGGTAGCTCTGAGTATTGCGCAATATTTAAGTATAATGTTATGGAGTGCACTCTACAATAATTTGAGTTAGGAATTTTTTTTACACCGAAGTTGAGTAAAATGGGTACAAAAATTAAAAAATATATTTTTTCGTAGGGAATTTTGATGTGTGTATGTGTGATTTCTATCGATAAAAATGTTTTAATTGCGTATGCATGTTCACTTTGAGCAAATTGTGAGCACTGGTTGGGGAAATCTTCGTAGATTGGGCAAATCGCTAATTGGGCCCCAATTGGGCCAAAATTAGAGCCCAATTGGGAAAAACTTTTGGCTCGATCGGGCAACCTCAAAAAAATTCCGCAAGGAAACTTTATCATAATGGGCAACAATTTTTGCGTCCTCAACTGGCACGAAAATCTGCTAGCATCATAAGTGCATTTTCAGAAAAAAAATCATAACTCGAAAACGACGAATTTTAGCATATTGCTACTCGTACTGAAAATAGAGTATACTATTCCCTTATACACAAAAAGTTTGAGAGAAAAAAAGATGTGATGAAAAATCAATTTGAAAAAAAAAAATGTTTGTTTATAAACAATAATTAATTATTAATAAACAATTACTGATGTTTAGTCACTAGATCGATTCATAGACAATATCTGCAATTTAAAAAAAAAAATCGTTAAAATCCTTCTTTTTTGCGGCAGTTATAAACGATTTCATCAAAAGTTGCTATTAAGAGAGGAAAAAAGAAGCGTTCGTATCAAAAGAAAAAAATCATTATTCGAAAAATTCGCATTTTGAGCAAAAAGAAAAAATACGTGTCTCCTTAAATTGTTCAAGGAACAATCCCTGTGAGTTTTATCGCAAACTTAAATTCACTTTCCCCGGCCTGGGTGATTTGAGATGGAATGAGCCATATACAAGAATTGCTCGTTTACTGTAATAAGATTATGATTACACTATGCGACAGTCAAAATCGGGATGGGATGAAACCAACGGGAAATGTTCTATCGGTCAAAAACAAGTTATACGTGGACCGGCGTTTCGCTGGGTCACGTCTAGGACTCGAGATATATCGATTTGAAGTTAGTAACTGTCATATAGGGGAAATATTCTTGTCAAAATGAGATACCTTCACTTAATTGTGAATAAAAGCGAAACGCGTCCATTGATTTTCATGATCTATGTCTCATTTTGCTTAAAGGTTATGTGCAGGGAACGGATTTTTAGGACCTAAAAACCTATAAAAAAGGCAAAATAAAATAACGAAATAGGCTGGAAAAGGCAAAATAAAATACTGAAAAGGCAGGAAAAGGCACTAGGTGTTGCAAAAAAGGCAAAAAAGGCAAAACAAAATAGCGAAAAAGGCAGGAAAAGGCACTAAAAAAGACAGAAAATACGAAGAACAATCAAAAAATACATTTGTATTAGAAATGTTTATATTACAAGTAAAAAGAGAAAAACTATGAACTAATTTCATTATATGAAAAATTTGTACTTTGAATCTTTGACTATTTTATCCTTTCGAGTTTCTAACTCATAAAACTTTAATCTGTATAGTTCTAGTAACATTGAACCACAAGATGCATTTTGAAGTTTTCTGGCAGCATTTTCATTAGATTTTCGCGAAGAAAAGCCTTGAATGTACTAAATGTGTGCTCGACGTAAGTTGATACAAGCGGCGCCCAATTTAAACATGGAACGTTTGAAACGTCCATATTATCAGGAATAAGGGCGTTTTCCTCGCCCTTTACAATTGTATCCACACCCCTTATTGTCTCCAAGCCTTCGTTAGCTTAGAAAACGGCTTTGAATTTTTCCAACACCAATTTGGCAAGAGGTCTCTGCGCTTCTATAAGCCGCATGGGCAATGTGTATATTTTTTAATCTTAAAAAAAAAAATTGTAAATGCTATAATCAATTTTTTAAAGGTAGAAAAGGCAAAAAAAGGCAAATATCTTAAAAAAGGCAAATATCTTAAAAAAGGCA